CTAGCTATCTATCTATCTATCTATCTATCTATCTATCTATCTCTATCTCTATTTCTATCTCTCTCTTGTTAATCCTAACTGGAGGATATTTTTGCTATTGCTTTTCAGAGAGAGTGGAAAGGTGAGAGGGAGTGGGACAGAGATAGAGGAGAGAGAGAGAGAGAGAAATATCGATGTATACATTATTGATTGGTTGCCTCCTACATGTTTTCCTACTGGGTAGGAATCAAACCTGTAACTCAGATATGTGCTCTTGACTGTGAATCGAACCCGAGACCCTTCAGTGTGCGGGTACATGCTCTGTCTGTAGTAGGCAGTTAGGTAGACACGAGCAGAGCAAAGAGAATGGGCCAGGTACAGAGGTCACTAGCAGAACATCCCAGACACCTAGCAATGAAAACAACCTGGTAGAGCAGATATTAGACATATTCAATTCAAGACCTTGAACCTAGAACTTCTCTCCACCCTAGAATGCCTCTGGTCATCGAGGTGGGATTCTCCTGACCTTTTCTCCTCTGGCATGTGGTTAGTCACGTGGTAGACCATCCTCCTTAGAGGAGAACATAGGGGCTGGAGGAAAGCCCCATCTAACTTACATGCAAAACCAGAAGATAACAGCACAGGACCTGATAGGTCAGTCTGAAGAAGAAAGCAGTTAACTCCTTTCTAAGGGTTTAATAGGAATCCTAGCCCACTCCCCAGGGCAACTCTTTGAGCTGTCAGCTTGAAATTTCTCTTCGAGTGTACTTTCTCTTTACTTGCTCAAAAGATTTTCTCTAGTGAGTTTGAGTCTTGATTGAATTATTTCCTTAGCCAGAACTCAAGTACCGAGGTTGCTGAACCCAGGTTTGGTCTGAACCCACTGGTCTGACACCTGGTGCCGTTCCTGCTGCCTATAACATATCCACTAAGCCATGCTGGCCAGGACAGTGCAAGCATCCTTTTAAAAATTATTCAAAAGCTGACCAGTGCAGTTTGACCTATGAACCAGGAGGTCACAGTTTGATTCCTGGTCAGGGCACATGCCCAGGTTTCAGGCTCATTGCCCAGCAGGGGGCATGCAGAAGGCTGCTGATCAGTGATTCTCTCTCATCATTGATGTTTCTATCTCTCTATCCCTTTCTCTTCCTCTCTGAAAGCAATATAAATATATTTTTAAAATCATTCAACAAACCAAAAACTGGTGGAGATAACTCATTTACATATTTAGGGTGAATGAGAAAAAAACAACTTCTTATATGAAGCAAGTGGAAACATGGTTTGTAATAAAATTCCCAGTGACAGAATCATAAAAGGATTCAGGAAGTCATAGTGTCAAAAATATAGACAGATGTGAAGAAAATACGCTCTGAAAAAAACCCATGGATGATTCAAAAAGTGGCTTTCATGATGAAGTCATTGATGCCAAGTTGCATGTTATAATTTGAATAAAACTTTAAAAAATATAAATGGAAAAGTCAGTATTTATAAATTAATGCATAATTTTACTTTTATATTTGTTTATCTAAAATGACAAATTAAGTATTAAGTAAATAATTAAATAAGT